GGATAATAAATAGAATTTCTATAGGTTTGGTTAAAATAAAATAATCTGAAAAAGGTTTGGGTAAAAAATAGACATTGTCAAAAAAAAAAAACCATCATAAATCTATGACATGTTACAAATTATATATCAATATGTGAGATTTAAAAATCCGTGAACTCCATTGATCCAAAAAATGCAAGCAAACAATAAATTTTATTTAAATTCATTAAGAAATAGAGTTGGTATCCAAATCCACATAGGCAAATAAGTGAATAACCCGTTATTGTATCAGTCGGCATACTATATTACTAGTGGTTTGATCAACTTGGATTTTAGGCTTTTAGCCAAGGCTCGAGAACTGTAGAGGAATTCTCCGTGCCGCGGCTTTTCTATCCGTCGCCGCTTCTTCTTCTTCAACCCTTTGTCCCTCTTCTTCTTGAAATCTTATCTCCGGCGAGCCAACGGAATCAATCAATGGAGTCTCAATCTGACGGCAACAACAACAACAACCCCAACTCCAACTTAGCGTCGACAATGAAAACCCTTCGGACGGAGCTGGAATCCCGCATTCAAACCCAACGCTCCGCCCAACTCGACCTCTTGGCTTCTCTCCAACCTCTCGTCCCCGACATCGTCTCTTCCCTCGACCTCTCCCTCCAAGTCGTCTCTTCATTCAACGGTAAGCCCTTCACCCCCACTCCTGCCCTCCCCAATGCCTCCGCCGCCGCCGCCGGTAACAGCAGGCCCTCGATCGAAATCAGGCACGGCCAGCACTCCGCCGTTCCCAGAGATCCGGGCGGTGTAGCTTCCATTGCCAGGATTCAGAACGCCGGAGACGACGATGACGATGATGATGATGACAAGTTAGGCGATGGGGAGAGCCCCTTGTCGGTCGTGCGGGTGATGGTGGCGGAGTGTCTGCTGCAGAGGGTTCCTTTCCAACCAATTGATTCCTCCACCGTGCTGAGGAAGCTGGAGAACGACGAGAACGTCACCGCTGCCGAGAAGGCAGCGTTGAGGGAAGTGGGAGGGGAGTCCGGTGCTATTCTCGCCGTAGAGATGGCTCTGAGGTCCATGGCGGAGGAGAACCGAGGGGTTGACCTTGGGGAGTTTGTGGTGAGTGGCAAGTCTAGAGTCATGGTTTTGAACATTGATAGGAATATGTTGATGAAGGAGCTGCCTGAGAGTGCCCAACATCAGGAGGAGATGGAGTTGCTGAATTCGTCTAGTGAGCTGAATCATAATCAGAGTGGGAACAACAATGTGGGTTTCGGGCCGAGGGCTCCAATAGATAATGGGTGGATGGGAGTTGGGGGTTCGAGTGATGGTGATTTGTGGAGGGGAGGAATGTTGGCTCCCAGGCCAGGGATGTTGATGCCTCCTAGAGGCGGGAGGATGCAGAGACCACCTCTCGGGCCAAGTAATGTGCCTCTTCCTGTGCCACTGCAGCAGCAGCACAGGACGGAGGAGGATGATATGAAGGATTTGGAAGCTATCTTGAATAAGAAGTCATTTAAGGAGATGCAGAAATCAAAGACTGGCGAGGAGCTTTTGGACCTTATCCATCGGCCTACTGCTAAAGAAACTGCTGTGGCTGCTAAGGTAATTGTTTTCTCCTTTTGCTTCTTGGTTGTTTTGGTGCCAGAAGATGTCTTGTTGGTAGTGGAAATGAGAACTTTTAAGTAAAGAACATTGAGTTGATTAGTGTCAACTGAATGATGGAAGTGTCCTGTCTTTTGTTGCAGTTCAAAACCAAAGGTGGTTCTCAACTGAAGGAGTACTGTACAGCTTTAACTAAAGAGGACTGTAGACGGCAATCTGGTTCCTTTATGGCATGTGAGAAGGTCAGTTTGACGAACACTGAAATTCTGTTGTTTGTGGGCTCCGTGAAGCCTCCTGTTTTGTGATTTTATGTGCTTGCTATCTTTACTAGCGGATGCGTTTGCAGCTATAAGCCCAATAACTTATCCTAAATGCTATTTGAAGCTGTCCACATGCTATTTGAAGCTGTCAGCCAGTGTCTTTTGATGAACGGAATCCATGGTTTTGGTTGGACGTCCTTTGTGCTGGAATTTTTTTTCCAGCCAGTGTAAAGCTTATGCTAGGTGTTTCCCATGTCTCAATAACTAGCTAGAAACTGAGATTCTCCTAACATTTTTGGTGGATATGAAGGTCAATTCTTTGTTAGGAGGAGTAGGTCAGAAGGAAAAGGTAGGCTGTTCAATATCCATGGAAATGAGGTCATAAAACAACGGGAAAATATTTTGAACTATCTTTTAGTCTTTTATTATCTACAGTGCATACTTGTTAAGAGTTTCTTGCATCCATATGTTGTATAAAAGATCACGTGCGATTCATAGATTCATTCTGGAGCTTTATGGGCCAGCTACTATTTCAGTATCGCCACTATATGATGTCTTGATACCCTCGAGTTGGCCACTTAAATTATTTTACAGGTCCACTTCCGAAGAATTATTGCTCCTCATACTGATATTAGCCAAGGAGATTGCTCATTTCTAGACACTTGTCGGCACATGAAGGTTAGTTCTCAACCTGCACTTTAAGTTTAACGGGTTCTTATTGGTGATTGAGGATACATCTGTAAGCACTATAACTTTATCGTTCTTCTTGGTTTATTAGACATGCAAGTACGTTCACTATGAGCTTGACCTGACTCCTGATGCACCAGCGATGATGATGGGCAGTGGGAATCTAGCACCCCCCAAGCCTATTAAGCCCCAGCGTGCTGAATATTGTTCTGAAGTCGAGCTCGGGGAGCCACAATGGATTAATTGTGACATTAGAACATTTAAAATGGAGATTTTAGGTTCTTTTGGAGTGATAATGGCTGATCCGCCTTGGGATATCCATATGGAACTGCCTTATGGAACTATGGCTGATGATGAGATGCGCAACTTGAATGTCCCTGCCCTGCAAACTGATGGCTTGATTTTCCTTTGGGTAACTGGACGTGCAATGGAGCTCGGACGTGAATGGTATGACTTCATCTCAAATCATAATATCTGTTTTTTACTATTATAGATTATTTATTTATTTATTTCTTCTTGTGAGGCTTCGGCTGAGCAGAAAAAGACTAGAAAAATCAAATTTGTAGAAACTGACTTTAGCTTACTTCTGCAGTTTAGAATTATGGGGTTATAAACGTGTTGAGGAGATCATTTGGGTAAAGACCAACCAACTTCAGAGAATAATTAGGACAGGCAGGACAGGGCATTGGCTCAATCATAGTAAGGAGCACTGTCTAGTTGGAATAAAGGGTGATCCTATAGTGAATAGGAATATAGACACTGATGTTCTGGTTGCCGAGGTTCGAGAGACGAGCCGAAAGCCTGATGAGGTATGTCCAAACAGATTTCCTATTCTGCTCCCCTATTTGCCTGTCTGTTTCACTAGATTGGTAGTTATATTAATTGGCTTGAAGAAGGCTAAAGGGTCTTTTGACTGATGGATTGTTAAAATGAGTAGATTGTTAAGATTAATGAACTTTTGAATAGATTGTTGGTGGTGGGTTGTGAAAATGTATTGTTCAGATGATTGTTTTTAGTAACTGAATTTGGTAATAGACTGTGAGAGTTGGGATTGAAAGACCAAATTACCATGCCCAATGTGATATTCCGAAACCCTCTCATTCATATATCTGCAAAATCTCTCTCTATGCTACAATAACCACCAATAATAGCCACTCGAACTATCAAATTCGGTCAAATCTACCTGCTAATGAACCCAAATCCGTAAGTCAAATGACCACTAAGTCATCATGCTTCCCTTGGGCTGCTTGAACCTTTATCATCCAGCTCCAATGTTTTAGCTGAGTCAGAGATTGTTTCCTATAAATAGCATATTAACAATGACAAATCCTTGCAGATGTATTCCTTGCTGGAGAGGATAAGTCCAAGGACAAGGAAGTTGGAATTGTTTGCTCGCATGCACAATACTCAGGCAGGGTATGGAAACGAACTAGAACTGTTATAAAAGAAATCTACGATCTGTTGGGCAATTTTCTCACGAGAGTGATTCACCACAATCTGTTTATCTCTAATCTTTGGTTTTCAATAGGTGGATGTCGCTGGGGAATCAGTTGGATGGTGTACGACTGGTAGATGAAGGGCTGAGAGCACGATTTAAGGCGGCTTACCCAGATGTGGTGGTGCAGCCGGCTTCTCCTCCCCGGGCGTCTGCGATGGAGATAGACTCTACCAATTCTGCTTCACAGACGAGAAGCCCCTTTGGCGACCACAACAATGCAGCGCCACAAACATCATATGCATCCGAAGAAAAGCATGTGCCAGCAGGGAGTGCAATGGCTGTTGGATGAGGCGAGTTCATACTCCTCGCATTATCGGGAGCATAGTACCTACTCTGTACGTTGTTATTCTGCAGAAGCCATCTTCGTGATGTAGTCACCCGAGCTATGCTCTTGGAAATTTTTATCCTGAACCAAACTATCTTGTAAACCTTATAGCAGAAGTGTGGAAGTCCACTTGAACACTCTGTGTTCGCGACATGAACGATTAGCACTAATTGTTGCATTCTTCATGCTGGGTAGGGTTCGAGACCCATACCTACAGGTGTGGTATGGCGCGGTTCCAGTTTGAATCGATCGCAAATCGCATAAAATATAGACAGCATCTTAGACCGCAAGCTTGACGTTGTGATTTGATTTGACCGCATACGAGACTCGGTCTTTATACCCAATGCACAATTACGTTTCACTCCCTATATGCCTATATTGGAATGATGTGCACTTAAGTCCCGTTTGTTACACAACTGACAAGTGACAACCCACTTCAAATAGCCGCCTCCGACGAACAGGTTTCTTTGATTCTCTCGCCGTCGTTCGGAAAAATTATTTCTTGCTTGGCGGGCGGGCGGGCTTTTCATTGGGCTAATATGAACCCCAAAGGAAGAAGGTGAGAAGCCCATCAATCCAATTGGGCTTTCTGCCCCCAATTACCCAATCTATATTCGTCCGCCGTCTTGCACTGAACCACCGGCGCCACATTTCTGCCTTCCGCCGGACTCCCGGGGAAAATGAAGCTATGGCGTCCCCGACGAAGAACCATTACGAATCCGAGCTTTATCTCAACCAGCAACTTCTGCACCTGCAATCCCTGCAGACCCGATAATGACGAAAAAGATAGAGATACCGACTTCGTCGGGGTTCTCGAAACGATCGTACGAGGAAAGCAAAGCTGGAGAGCAGCTTTCAGCAATCCCTCTCTATGTGCTACACTGAGGAGCCGCCATGTAGAGCAAGTGTTAGTTCGAACAGTTGACGACTCCAGGTTAGCTTTGCGGTTCTTCAATTTCCTAGGCTTGCACAGGAATTTCGACCATTCAGCGCTGTCCTTCTGCATTCTAATTCATTCGCTGGCCAATGCTAATCTTCACTGGCCCGCTTCTTCACTTCTGCAAACGTTGCTGCATCGCGGGTTGGAGCCAAGGCAGGTTTTTGAGGCTCTCTTGGACTCGTCCCGCTTGTGCAGATTTAGCTCTGGTTTGGGCTTCGATCTGTTGATCCAGAATTATGTGGCCAACAAGAGAATGGCTGATGCTGCTTTGGTTTTTAGATTGGTGAAAGGCTGCGGCTTATTTCCAGAGGTTAGGACTTTGGGTGTGCTCCTGAATGGGTTCGTGAAAATTAGGCAATTTGATACGGTTCTGTTTTTGTATGATGAGGTTGTGAATGCTGGAATTATACCTGGTGTTTACATCAACACAGCAGTTATTAGAAGCTTGTGTGAACTGAAGGAGTTCGTGAGAGCAAAGGAGATGATTCAATGGATGGAAAGGGAGAGATTTGAGGTAGGTATAGTGGGTTATAATATGCTCATTCATGGGTTTTGCAAGAGCCAAAGAGTTTGGGAGGCTGTTGAAATTAAGAATAGTTTGACTAAAAAAAATCTAAGAGCTGATGTGGTTACTTATTGCACTTTAGTACTTGGGTTGTGCAAAGTGCAAGCATTTGATGTTGGCCTAATGATGATAAATGAAATGATTGACTCCGGGTTTGTTCCGAGTGAAGCTTCGGTTTCAAGCCTTGTTGAGGGTTTGAGGAAGACCGGGAGGATTAGGGATGCTTATGATCTGGTAAATAAGGTTGAGGAAGTTGGTGCAACCCCTAGTTTGTTTGTGTACAACGCATTGATCAATTCCTTTTGTAAAGAGGGGAAATTCAATGAAGCTGAGTTTCTTTTTGAAGCCATGACAAGGAAAGGTTTATGTCCAAATGATGTCACTTATTCTATTTTGATTGATTCATATTGCCGACGGGGGAAGCTAGATTCTGCAATTCAATCTCTTAACAGAATGATTGAGGCAGGGATAAAAGTCACAGTCTATCCATACAATTCTCTAATCAATGGTCATTGCAAGATTGGCAACTTGAACGCAGCATGGTCTTTCTTCGATGAGATGGTTAACATAGGTTTGGTACCCACTATTGTAACTTACACTTCACTGATAAGTGGACTCTGCAACAATGCAGACATACACAAAGCACTTAAATTGTACAATGAGATGACCGGGAAGGGGATTGCTCCAAATATTTATACGTTCACTGCACTCATACACGGCTTTTGTCAAGCAAATATGATGAATGAAGCTATCTGTATGTTCAAAGATATGGTGAATTGGGATGTTATGCCAAATGAGGTGACTTACAATGTCCTGATAGAAGGACACTGCAAAGACGGTAACACAACCGAGGCTTTTGTTTTATTTGATGAAATGTTGAATAAGGGTCTTGTTCCAGATACATTTACCTATAGGCCTCTAATTGGTGGCCTTTGTTCTACTGGTAGAGTTTCTGAAGCTAAGGAGTTTATTGACAGCCTTCATAGAGAGCATCACAAGTTAAACGAGCTATGTTATAGTGCACTACTTCAAGGCTATTGCAAGGAAGGAAGAATAATCGATGCTCTGATTTCTGCTCGCGAGATGGTAGATCGAGGCATTGACATGGATCTAGTGTGTTACTCTGTGCTTGTAGATGGAACCATGAGGAAGCATGATACAAAAAAGTTGTTGGGTCTTTTAAATGATATGCGGAATCAGGGATTGAAGCCAGACAATGTAATGTATACAAGCATGATTGATGGTCATGGGAAAATAGGGAATCTTAAGGAAGCATTAGGACTTTGGGATATTATGATCAATGAAGGATGCATTCCAAGTACAATAACTTACACTGCCCTCATAAATGGTTTGTGCAAAGCAGGATTGATGGATAAGGCTATGCTTCTTTTCAAGGAAATGTTGGCTGGCAGCTCTCTTCCAAATCGTGTGACATATACCTGTTTTCTGGACCATCTAGCCAGGGATGGAAACATGGAGGAAGCTAGAGAACTTCACAACATCATGATGAAAGATTTTCTAGCCAACACCGTTTCATGCAATATTCTTATCCGAGGCTTGTGTAGATCAGGTAAGATGGAAGAGGCAATGGAACTTATAGATGGAATGACTGAGGCTGGTATCTTCCCTGATTGCATTACATACTCTACGATAATATATGAGTACTGCAGAAGAGGAAAATTGAAGGAAGCCTTAGATTTGTGGGGGAGTATGTTAAGTAAGGGCGTGAAGCCTGATAACCTAGCGTACAATTTTTTGATTTACGGTTGCTGTATTGTTGGGGAAGTGGGAAAGGCATTGGAATTACAAGATGACATGATGAAGAAGGGAATGAGGCTGAAATTAAGTACTCATAGTGCTCTGAATCATGCAAATCGTCATTTGAAATTGACAGGGTAATTCGGTTTTCTGTTTTTATTGGTGTTATGATTCAATATATATAACATGCTTTTGTGTTGGTAGTCATATTATTCAATGACATTTTGTGTGTATTTCAGATAGGTTTGGTTGTCTCAAAAGTTTGACTTCTATTGTGACGTGAGGACTGTGTAGTTTCCCAGCCCTGCTTCCGGTAAGTACCTTGATGCTCATTATGGTGCTTCGTCAGGCAGTAGTTTCCTAGGTTTACTTTTTTCTTTTAGCAATGTAGATGGAAGGATGCTTAATGTAAGGCTCAGGACCAGCTGTTAGGAAGCTGCAGTACTTTGTTACCCTCCTTGTTGACAGTTCTCAACTTCCCATGTAAACTTCCATTAAAACTAGTAATACCCTTCTGGTGAAAACATGTACATGTCCAAGCTAATGATGACTGGCGTACTTGTTTCCTACACTCGGTCAGGGAAAACTAGTAGACACATTAAGATGTTGCTATCATGTCTTTTTGCTGTATACCTCTACAATAATGTGTGGATAAATATATGTTGTCAGCTCAAGGCTAGCATTTTCCTAATGGGAGCCAATATTTGTTTTTCACAGAATAATATGCATCTAGCTTTCCAAGCCATTATTGGAATATAATCTAATAAAGATGATAGGCAAATTTACAAAGCGTGAGCATTAAGTAACAGAGAATCTATAGATTAAGATAAAAGAAATAGGAAATTTAAATGGGTTATGTTTGCAAACTTCTATAGGGGCAATGCAGGCCATTTAGGTTCCGAAACCTCTTAGGTAAATTCATCAACCTGTAAGTTCTGCCAGTTAATTTAGATGAAAATGGTAGGTTATAGACCTGATAATGATAGGCCTTTAACATTTATGCTATCTGTGGATAGAGTCTAATTGTTTGATACTGATACTGGATCAACATTTTACCTTTCCAATTAGCATGGCTGCTAAACGATAGCTCAATGCATTATCTGCTAGGTCAAGTTTATCCAGGTCTACAGTTCCATAATCTTCATCCAGATTCAATTGCAATTAGTGACCAAAATCACAGGTCTAGGGAGCCAAATAAAAAATACTAAAAGTTTCAATCTGTCATAATGTTCATCCAGAAAGAAAATATCTTTGGGACTGAGTTGGTTGTTAGACCTGTATATGGAAGCATAATAAATGGTAATTATGGATCTTTCTTACACCTAGGAGGGGTTCTCATAGCATGCTACTGCGAACTAATTTCATACAATAGCTGTCTTCTTCTCGTGCCTGAAACTGGAAATAGATAAGCGAGCAAGCAATCTATATATAGCTCTTCCCGAATTGGCATCTCTAGACAACTCCTTTTCCAATGGACTTCACTCGTCAGCACCAGATAACTTGGACACTACTGCTGCTGCAGATGGTATTTCTGCTCCACCAAGTAACATTACCAGGAGAAACTGTGTCTAGAAGTTGAAATTAGAAGTGTGCAATTAGTCTTATTAGATAATTTTCATGGTTGTGGTGGAATGGGTACATGATTAGACATGGGTGATAAACTCTCTGATGTTGACCTTGTGATAATACTCTGTTTAAATTGACTCCTTGTTTCATCTTCAATTTCTTCCTTTCCCCCTACCCTTAGCTTTGCTGTTTTTCAAATTGTTACATTTTTCCTCAGAGATGAGCCCTTGATAGTAAGTCTGCACGTGAAAGCTTACAACTAAATCATCCAGGCATACAAGTGAGCTGTCCTTTCTACTGTTTGTTGGAAATGCCTTCCGGTTTGTCTGTATAATAAATAATATTTATTATCTTGTCTAGGTTAGGGGTGAACCTCCAGAAGATTTCCGTGCCCTGTTGAAGGAATGGGAGAATCTCTGCAAGCAATATATGGTTACTATCCTTGAAAAGACACGTTCAAGAAGATCAATGCCTTCGAAAGTTGGCTTCAAAAGTTGAAGATTGAAATGGCGATAGAATCAATGAAGCTGACGTTGCAACTGGTGAATTTGAAGTCCCAAAGATAGTCGACATGTGTTTTGGTGATCATAGTTCTTCTGGGAGCCATGGATTGAAACTTAAGGTACATCGCGCATACTGCCACTTCATGTTTGTAGGGTAGAGGATGGCATGTTATTGTGGAAGAAAAGTAGTCCTAATGCTCTTCTGATGATTAAGAATGAACTGGATCAGGTCCGTTTGTCTTTTGGCCATTGACCTGTTTATCGCTTCTGGTGTTCTTTTGCCTGATCTTCATGTTATGTCTATCTAGAACATCCTGTGTTGGTCAGCTGTGCAAAAACCAGGGCATGGTGTAGATTATGATTTTCTCCTCAGAAACTGAGTGGACATGCTTGCTGTAGATACCAAGTACCAAATATCTGCTATCCTGGTACATTTTGTGATATAAAAATTCGAATGTTGTACATGGTACCATTATGTCTTGTGAAATCCGTTATGTGGATCATCCTTAAGAAGTAATTTGCAGTGGTTTCATTGTTGCATGTTAAAATATTCTTATTAATGATTGTGAATCTTGTTATACCCTTCAGTATGAACTCCTGTCCATATTGCTTCTTCACATGCAGTAGATCTTAGATTTCCTTCTTAAGATGGAATGACAGAGACTGGTACTTTCAAGACTGCATTACGTACTCAACGATAATATAAGAGTACTACAGAATGGGAAATTTGCCGGAAGCCAAAGTAAGAGCGTGAAGCCTGATACGCTAGCTTACAATTTTTGTTTACATACAGTTGTATATGTTGGGGAAGTGGGGATGTCACTGGAATCACGAGATCACATGATGACGAAGGGAATGAGGCTGAAATTAAGTACTCCCAGTGCACAGAATCATAGTAGCATACAACTCTTCATTTGACATTGGCAGGGTAGTTCCTTTAACCTTAAAACACTCGAAATGCTCTGAATTGTGCTCGACTGTTTTCCCCTTGGTAATAATGATGACGGAAGGCCTTTCCTCTGTCACTAACTGCTCTGCAACTTTTGCTTCTTCTTCATCAGCTAGTTACTGTTTCTGCCATGTTGTGCGCCAAGGAACCGACATCCTTGCAGAAAGACGGCCAGTCACTCTTCTCGTCGTGCTCAATCTGCTGAGACATTCCTGAGCACATAAGATTGTGGCAACTGGTGATGCGTTGCAGCTTACTTAAGCCGTCTGGACAACAGTTGATGTTCATTTGATTTCCAGTACAAAATGGTAAACATATTACGCGCTCTTGCATCATTCTGTCTTCCTGTGATGCTAAGTATTTTCCTCCTGTCGTTGTCAGAGTTCAAGTTACAAATCTAGTCCTTGCTCATCTACTGCATATTTTTCGCCTTTGTTTTATAGGTTCGGGAAGTCTCTTACCTGGGAACAGGGATCAGCAGCTTGTCACAAGTTTTATCTGACTGATGAATCCTCTGGTACAGGCTTTGATGGATCAGTCAATATCGACCATTCAAGCAACTGGGCTGTACGGACAAAATGGGGTGCTCACACCTAGAACATCTTCACTCGGAGACAAACTCGACTAAATCTCCACATCCAATGACTATCTAAACTCAATTTGCTCTGTGCCAAATGATCCTGCGGGACTCTGAACTCTGGCTGCTCTGTATGTTGATCATTTGACTAGAAAATTCTGGTTATTTCATATTTGCATCAAATACCTCTTTTTCTATTTTCCTAGATGCAAATAATATCTGTTTGAAGAATATTTGAGACAAGTCTTTTAAGGGTAATTGAACTTTTAAGAACCTATATTTTGTCTTCTTATTTAGTTTTAGAGATAAATATTTATGTTCCTAATATTAGGTTTCTGGACAATTATATTTTTGTGGTTATGTCTTCTGTGCACTCATTTTTATGGGTGCACCCGTCTCATAATCGTCATTCTGAGCAGGCGATTCATGTGAAATCTATGTCAATCATCACTTGTGGTATGATGAACAAGAACCACATGAATTTGTACAAAAATCATTCCAGATTCACTTTAATTTGAATGATTTAGAGTTTAGGAATTTAGGTAGGGTTAGAGTTTACAATTTGAGGTTTTAGATTGGGATTCAAAATTGAAGGTTAATAGGTTAGGGTAATGGATTGATTAGTTGTGTTTTTATGTTATATCATCATATTATACTAATGCTACCCATTAAATTTCAGAATTTGATATATTATGATCACTTTTAGAGTTGGGTGCATTGAATGCACTAAAAGAAGTGAGTGCACCGAAGTAGCCACCATATTTTTGTATTTTCGTTGAAGGACAATTATATTTGTTGAACACTTAAGGTTTTCACACAAGTTCAAATACCATCATTTGCTGAACCAATGGTTCTGTTGAGATTCAAACACAAGATTACAAGATCTCTCAATAATCAAAAGATTTTATATCGTGTCAAGATCAATAGGTCATAATAACTCAAATTATTGAAAAATGTTCAACTATATATCTCATACTATTTACAAATGTAAATGTAACATCTAGAATCTTTCCTCGACCAATATGTTATTCGCTTTAGATGTAGACCTGCACGATTTTGGTCTGGTGATGCATATCAAGGTTACTCATATTTTTGCGTTGCTCCACAATAAGCATGTTTAACTTCAAGGATTTCGCAAAACTCATCCATTTCATCTCAAAATGCGACTTGTCAATTAAGTTCGATTTCTTACTTATGAATTATAAATATCTCTCATATTTTGTTGACGTAGGATTTCGTTACAGTAAATTACTTCATACAAACAAAAAAGAATAAATAAACTGCCCTCTTTTGACTTTGTAATAGGGAGGGTAGACAACTAACTACCCTGAAGCTTCCTCACTAATGGAGGAGCTGCCGCCGCTGTTAGTTACGACGAAAGCCACTGGCCGCCGCTGAATGCGACAGAAGACGATATATATACTGCCCCTGCCGGCGATCGAGGCGGCAGCACCAGCCACCGACGGTACTATGTACCACCAGCAGCTAGCGGCCGGCGGCATATATCTACCGGAGGAAACGTTCTGCCGATTATTGGATTAATATGTATGGCGTAAAAGAAGAATGCCCAACTATATAGGCAACTTTCATAAGAAAGTGACTGTTTGATATACAATACGTACAAATTGTTCATTGATGTGTCAGTCGAGCCAACCTGATCACCAAGGGCACGACTAATTCATGTGCGCTCGTTCGACTTCTTATACTGAATCTTTTTGGCTATAAGTAAGAGATGACAAAAATATTCGGAACTATGGATATCCACTCGAATCCGATTTAATCGGGATAGGGTAAAACTCGGATCTGAAAGATTTTCAGTAGGGTACGAGGGTAAAATCTCGAATCCGAATATTACGGGTAATGGATGGACATTGTTTACGTACACTATCCAACCTGAACCGACCGATTATATACACACATATGTATTTTTTCATTCTAGTGATTTGTTTTCTCGTACTTTTTCACTTATATGATGTGAGTATACGTGTGAATGTTAACATGTTGGTTGAACTTATAAACAAAAATAAATATCTTTGGATAACTATGGATACCCGAAACCTGAACGTTTATGGACATGATTTTGATTTTCTACTCGATTCTCATGCAGCTATAGGCATGGGTAAAACCTTAACTAATTTTTTTATTTATTTTTATGAATGATGAATTTTTTATTTGAAACTCACTTTAGCACAAATGCTAACAACAAAAAGAGAAACCTAACCGAAAAGAAAGCAGAAGGACCTAAAAAACGTTAAACAAAACTAAAAACGAGAAGACAAAGGAGGAAATAAAGGCAAAAGCCAAACACGAAAAAAAGACAAGACTACAACTCAAAGTAGAAAAAACAGCTGGGGGGAATGAAACGAAACCCGAAGAAGAAGAAGAAATACACTAATGTCAAATCGAGTGATTTGTCCCCTTCACGACCCACTGACAATGGCGAATACCCGAGATACGATTAAACGCTCGTAGCCACCACCCAATCATGTGAATAATCTTGTTGCAGATTTCTTGTGGGGAGGTCTCAACATTTCTAAAAGTCCTATCGTTTCTCTCCATTCAAATGTACTAAAAGTCCTATCGTTTCTCTGCAGTTTCTAAAATGTGAGTCACACCGTCACAAGCTACTCACACCCCAACCCTCGCCAAGCTAAGAGGAACTGGCCCGTGATAGGTGAGATGAAGAGTCGATTTCACATCTTTTCTTCTTATTATCCGTGGATAACTGTGGCTACCGCAAATGGACATAAGAAGAAGAGATGTGAAATCGACTCTTCATAACGTTTAAAGAGGGAGCACTAGTTCGTAAGAATCATCCGTCTTCTTTTCAAATTATCAAGAGTAGAAATCTTTTCATGAGAGACCATCCAGAGAAAGCATGTAAGACTAACTCCAACCCCAAAAGCTATATTTAGCCTCCCAAGCTCTCAAATGTGCATATTTGCCTCCCCAAAACACCTTTTTGCTCCAACCCTAAAAGCTTCCAAATTTAGCTTCCCACATCTTTTTTTTATTTAATTTCCATAATCCATACTTATTTACAATATCATTCTTGTAATTCACTTTAATTTTTTTATAGTTTGTTATTACTTGTGAAAACAAAATTTTCGATGTAATTTTTTTTTAATTCCGAGATAATTTTCTTTTTGCAAAATTAGTCATTTTTTATGGCCGTTAAAATGTGTCCGTTGCAATGTGACCGTTGTATTGTCACTATATTACTTCTTTCAAACTAAAACGCAAACACACCCACACAAACTAAAACGCAAACATACCCACACAAACTAAAACGCAAACACACCCACTCAAACTAAAACGCAAACAAAAAATGAAAAAAAAAATAAAGCAGCAGCAGGGGACCCCGCGTGCAGGCGAGGGCCACCCACGGAGGCGCGCCTGGGCCGCACGCGCGCGGGAGGAAGGGCTTCCTCCCGCGCGCGTGCGGCCCAGGCGCGCCTCCGCGGGTGGCCCTCGCCTGCACGCGGGGTCCCCCTTCCAGCTGCTATTTTTGCCCCTTTGCTCCATGGAGGCTTCTATCTATCCACCCCAACACTCCATTCTCCAAATTTGGAAGCAAAATTGAAGGTGGGTTGGAGATGAAAAAATGCAAAATGTTCACTTTCTCCAAATTTGCAAGCAAGGGTTGGAGTTAGTCTAAGGAAGTGGTTAAGTACCATACATGAGTCTATATAAGATTCAACATAACTTTCTCCTAACAACTCGAGTTATTGGGACCAACTGGTTTATGACAAAGCAACATATTTTTGAGTGCACACAAGGACTCTACACCAACTTGAAAGGGAAATAAAGTCGCCCCCGACTTGACCCGTTGTTAATATCCCTACTAAAAATCAAGGGTTAATACCTTATTTTGGCCCGAACTATGACCATATAATCAACTTTGGCCCGTGGTTTCAGAAATTAACATCCTGGCCTCAACTATGCAGCATATAGACTCAATTGGCCCGACACATAGTTTGACCGTCAATTTGGACGGTCAACGGAGTTGACCGTTAGTCAACATGCCATGTCATTGCCTAGTCAGCCTAAAAATCATTAAAAAAATGCAAATTTCAAATTAGTTTTCTAATTTTTCTTATTTATTATTAAATTAACCAAAAATAAATTATAAAAAACATAAAATAAATTTGATTTTTTATTTTTTGGATAATTTGAAAAATGATAAATTTTATAAATTAAGAAAAAATTATCAAATTATTTTATATTTTTAAAACTTCCCACCAAAATATAATTTATACCATAATTTTTAATTAATAAAATTTAATTTGATAATTTTTGGTTAATTTATAAAATTTATCATTTTCAAATATCGCAAAAAAATTATTTTATATTTTTAGAATTTTTTTTGGTTAATTGGAAAATGATAAATAATAGAAATTAGGAAAATAATTTGAATTTAAATTTTTTTAATGATTTTTAGGCTGATTAGGCAATGACATGGCATGTTGACTAACGGTCAACGGAGTTGACCGTCCAAATTGACGGTCAAACTATGTGTCTGGCCAATTGAGTCTATATGCTGCATAGTTGAGGCCAGGATGTTAATTTCTGAAACCACAGGCCAAAGTTGATTATATGATCATAGTTCGGGCCAAAATAAGATATTAACCCAAAAATCAACATATTCACAATTATCGAACTTATTTGAATAGAGTAACAGATATGGACGTTTATACCCCTCTTTGGTATGTTTCTAGTACGCACGCAAGTACGTACGAGCCAATGCGCCATCGCCGGCTTAGTCCAGCTTTTGTCATTATTCCTCAAGCCGTCTAGTTGAAAGCCGACAGCGTGGGATTAATTTCTTAGTTATGCCACCCATGCATTTTCAGGGAGGACAAAGTTGTAATTATGATGTAGTTTCCGCTTAAGCCATGTTTACTTTACAATGCTTCATTTGTATTCAAGGCTAAGAGAAGTTAATTAATAGAAATATGAAGTCCTCATGTTGTAAATGAGGTGAACTGAGTCGAGTTTTGATCAACTTTGAGTTTGACTCGTTAATAAATAAATTGAGAGTTCCAATTTGATTTGTTTACTAAAATTTTGACTTGTGTTTAACTCGAACTTGGTTCATTAACGAGTTCACGAGCTCTATTCGAGTTCGGCTAATCAATTAGATTGCGAGATTGGCTCCAACTATGATATCATATCAATTAGTTCATAAATTTTAATAGTTCATAATCATATCATATTATTTAATAGTAATAAGTGTATGAGCAATCTGTGATACATAATTTCTCTTTTAAATTCTAAACGAGGTATATTTGATCACATGATTAAATTCATAAACATCACATATATAAAGATATATAATCTAACAAACATATGAATTATCAACAAGTCAATGATAAGCTATTTACCCATTCGCTCACAAGTTGCTAGTTGAGGTGACTCGCTATTCATACTGTCTAGCAAACTCATAGCTAGTCCAATAACTCATGAATTGAGCTCAATAAACCATTAAATCGAGCTGACTCATTAACCTTACGAGACAAATATAACAAAGATGAATTATTAGTAAATAAGCTGAATGACCAACAAGTTTTTTTTTTCCGCGTGAAACTACTCATGAGCGGAGCCGCCCTAAATGTAAAATTTATTACGTCCTCTGAAATGCCCCGAATATACGTGTTTTCAACAATATATAATGAGCCAAGTCTTGTAGGATGATATATTAATTTTGCTAGTTTACAAAGGAAATAACTGGTGGCAACAAAGCAAAAAAATATACCCGGCATATATTTTATATCCCAGCTAACTAGCAACAACGAGTGAAGTCAGAAAATCGGACAAGAGATGTTTCTCTACAGAAAACAAATATGTATGTAATCTAAAAACATATAAATTAAGGGTGGGGAAATGTAAGTCTTACGATCTGCTTATACTATTCATTACAAAGAAAATCCCACTGATATAAGTTTCATTTCAATAACACCACAAATACATTCATATTAAAAAAAACAAAAAACAAAATTACATCAGTTGTATTAGCCTATTCTGAAGAATTCTATATAATGCAATAAGAAACGAAAAAACACACAACACGACAAATTTACGTGATTCTTCTCATTCAGTGTGAATCACCTTACTCAACGGAGAAGTTATGTCTATCTCAACTTTTCATTAGGATTTTTTCCCACGTCCACTTTACACGATACATATACTTGCCATCAACAGGAAACACGAGTGAGCTAGGGTTGGGAGAAGTGAACGGCGAAAATACCACTACATAAGTATCCGCTATATATTCATTCGTCTCCAAACTTTGTTGCCGATGTTGTTAGCGAACTAACCACTTAGCCCCAATAACTCGAGTTGTTGGAAAATGGATAGTTAAGCATTTTAACCTCTAATACGCCCCCTCAAACGAAAGCCGATGCCGAATTGTGAATTTTTTTACGGTTTGAACATGTTGGAACCCTTGTGTTGCCAAACGACGAGGCTTTAGTTTGCACAGGTTGGACATACCATCCCTTGTGCTAAACAAATGGCTGAAAATGGGGGTCGTACGTCATGAGGATTCGAAACCATGACCTTTCGATTCTAGCCTCTGATACCATATTAGCGAACTAACCACTTAGCCCTAATAACTCGAGTTGTTGGAAAAACTAATAGATGTGTTCGCAAACCAAACTCATTCCTAATTTCCTTTAAAACATTAGCTTGCAATTACAACCGATATATAAAAATCAGTATTAGCTTCACATTTCATTAACACAATTTTTGTATATACATATATCCTCCAAAGTAATTAATATAGAAAGAAGTGAGACAAAAAACCTGTTAATGACAAGTTTGATGGCCATTAGCATTTGCTTAACTGTCATCACAGGATACTGATCTCGTTCACTCCGCTAACCCAAACACCCTCCCCGTCCTCTGCTAGCTAGCTAGCTGTTTGATTCACTTCGGACTAATCAATGATGTACAACCCCCCTTCTTCATTTAACTTAATTAATCCCAATTTAGCCTCTTCACTAATCCCCATCTTCCCTCCCCTTCCTCATTTCTCTCCCCCACCCTCGATCCGACCGCCGGCGAGACTCCACGCCGGAGGATATCCATGGCGGAGGGAAGTAGTAGGAGAGTCCCACCGGAGATCGAGAACAACAACAATACAACAAGATCCATCTCCTTCACCAGCGACGACGACGACGGAGCCATCCACAGCACCAACAAAGACCACCGCCACCACGGCGGCGGCAGCATCGAATCCTTCCCCACGCCGGACCTCCACGACACCGGGATGAAGCTGGAGCGAGCCAGGGAGGCCTACGCCGGCTACTCCGACGTCGTGGACCGGCCTCCGAAGATGGAGGTGTGGATGTGGTATCTCTACGAGCTCTGCTCCTACTTCATCCACTCCTGCCTCCTCCCCATCGTCTTCCCGCTCATGATCAGCCAGATCCACCGCCTCCCCGCCGAGCCCGACCGCGGCTGGCTCACCAGCCCTCTCGGCCTCTCCTGCCGCCCCGAAGAATCCCAGCTGTAAGTCCTCCTCCCGGCCTCCCCCCTCGTCGTAAGAGACTGATATAAGATCCGTAATTTGATTAAATCTTCTTCCAGTATAACAATTCGAGTTATTGTGCTCCGGATCGAAGGATTTGTGACGTGTTGGTTTTGTCGTCAAGTGGTCTTCGTGGGCGCGCTCGCGAGTCTCCACGCGCGCGATTCTCGATGTGTTAACAACATTTGATTGACGCATAGGATAAAAAGATAATGATGAGTTTGTGCCGAATTTTCAAGGTGAGAGGATGTGTGCGAGAGAGAGAGTGATATTATAAGGGGTTGTTTGGATGAGAAAATGTAACAGATCAATTTTGACTCGATTGACTTGTTTTTTAGACGATTGGAGATCAAATTGACTCGTTTGTCAGTTGGAAAAATTCGGATGGATCGTTTTGGCTTGTGGAATTTCAAATTGATCCGTTTTGAGTCAGTTCCAATAGTTTGGGAGCGTGTGGCAGGTGATTTGACTCGTTTTAATTGGCTCGTTTGATAAAACGAGATAATTTGACAAAATTGTCTCGTTTCTGAATTGATCCATCTGAATGACTCCTAAGATCTATAACTAACATTCTTCCAATAGTTATTAGGATTAATGACTAATTTCTTAGTAACATGAATAATATTATTGACCATTTCTTAATCAATTGTTGTGTGTTGAAAGAACGTTATTTACAACGCAAAAGTTGTGGATTAGGGGATTGAATGTGTATGAACTATGAACTAATGGTGATCGTTTTGGCAGATATGAAGCGCTGGTGAACAAGAACGTGGAATTCGGGACCTCCAAAATCTCCGCGCTGGAATGGACCTCCTTCTCATGGGGAATGGGCTTGGGCCTGGCGGGCCCAATACTCTGGACGATATCCACAAGCCTGGACTACGGAAATTTCCAGCCCATCATCGCCGGGACCGCCATCGCCACCGGATTCTTCTTCTGCCTCCCGACGGGGTTCTTCAACGTCACCTGGATCTTCCCGCCCTTCATCATCGCCATCGTGGCGGCGAGCACGATCGCCGCCGCCACCCACACGCGCCACCACGCCATGATGGTGCGGGGCTTCACGGGCCCGAACCTCCACAGATCCAGATTCACCCTCCGCCGCTGGGTCTCCAGCTGGCTCTCCCTCTACGCCGCCGCCGCCGGCGCCCTGGGCTCCGCCGTCATGACCGCCTTCACCTACTACATGCTCCGGAAGGACGAGAAGGAGCTCAGCCTCTGGGTCGTCACCATCTTCAGCGGCCTCAAGTGGGCCGCCGGAATCTCCCACGTCTTCTTCATCAAGCCCGGCTCCGGCGACGCCGTCGCCCGGCCGTCTCCGGCGACCCACTCCCTCTCGATTTTCAACTACCCGCACGCCTCGGGAACCCTAATTTTGGCTTTCCTCTCGTCGTTCACCACGATGTGCATCTTCGCGAGCGGGTACTTGTACTTCGCCGGATTCCTCTGTATCCGGCCGCCGCTGATCCTCTGTTCCTGGCTGATCTACTTCATCTTCCCCCTAATTTCACTCCCGGCGATTCAATTGGTCCAGTATCTGATCCGCGCCGACGCCGTGAAGATGCACATGTTAGGGTTCATCATGGCCCTGATCACATCCGGGTTCGGGTTCTACTTCCGGGCCCGGATCTGGGGCACCGGAGTCGTCCTAGCGTTCGCGGCGGTGCAGGGGACGTCGGCGGGGCTGATGCACGCGTTCCAGCGCGTGCTGCTGTCGGACTGCTCGCCGCCGGGGAAGGAAGGGGTTTTCGCGGCGTGGTTCGAGTGGTGGAGGGCGGCCGGGGCGTTCGCCGGGTTCACGGTGGCGGCCGCCCTCCCCGGGGAGATCAGCACCAGCTTGGCCGTGACGTTTCTGACGTCGGTGGCCGGGATCGTGGTGCTGGTGTACGGACACATTAGTGATACGGGTGGGGCTGCCGCGGCGGGACACGTGGCGGGTGAGGGAGGGTCGGGTCGGGTTCGTGGTGACGTGGAGGAGCAGAATGACCCGGACGGTGGGATATCGTCGCCGCCGCGGCCGCCGAGGCTGGCGTTGGAGAACAATGGTAATGGTAATGGCAATAATAATAATCATCATAACAGCGGCCGTAGTTTAGCGTTGATGAAGGAGGATGAGGATCAGGATCACGAACTGAGTTTTCAGCACGATCACCATGATGATGATATTAGCTTAGCTTAAGCTAATTAGCTGATTAGTTTATAATTAGCCTAGCCTCATAAATTCAGATGATGATGATCATGGGCTATGATCAATTGTTGATTACTAATTAGTCTTAATGATCGATCTCTCAGCATCATGCAGGTTTGTTTATTTGTGTAATTTTTCATTCCCAATTTTTTTCTTCAACAACTTGGTTCTAGTTTGGCCCCGTCCGATCCAAGGAATTGTAGCCAAATAATTTAAGGACTTTGCGTGTAATTCATTGATGTTAATTTCAAGGCTAACACAAGGTTCTTTGTGTGTATTACTACTTGAGATTAGTTAATTAGCTTAGTAGTTGTTGTTAACCAAATTAAGTTCTTGTGTTTCATATATTCTTTGTATTGTCCTTCCAATTTTTGGAGTTAACGTGGTGTCAAAAGGGTTAGTAATATATTCAAAGAGAGTTTTTGGAGGGCACGGCTAATATATTATTATTATTATTATTATTATTATTATATCAAACAAAGGTATATAAAATTAGTGGGTAGGCAAGATACAATCTGCTGTCTATACCTCATCAGCATAGAGAGTGACCAATTAAGTTAGTACTATTACATCTATTGTATTTTAAGTGAGGTAATAATTTTTTAAAATGGTGATATAATTTTAGGACTTTGTTACGATGACTAAGAAATCATCATGATTTGAAGAAAATGGTTTATCGCTTCTATGAAGTGATTGACCACTTCGAACAACTAGTCAACCCGATTAATAACCACGACTAGTGAAATCAACATATTTAATTAGAGTCATACACTATTAATAGATATGCTTGTTGGTAAGAGAATTGAAGTTAGTACACATGTTAAAGTATATGGATGTGAAGTTTCTCGAGTGATTGTCGTGTTGTAAATTTGAAAAAATGTTCTACACATTTATTTCTTAGATCTGACTTGCTCTATAGAGGCCACCTATATGTAAAATTCATCGATCCGCCACTTTGCTCACTTCCATTGCAATAATAGTTGATTGCGACCAGACTCTACTCTTGTACTATCACAGCTTCAGTGTTGGAAAAGTTCTTCCAATTATTTCTTATTTATGAGTAACATTTAAATTTTTTTATCATTACAATTAAGAGGGTTTTCTGCATGCATACATGCAAAATACCAATCCATCCACCACACATACAGCCTAAGAAATCACATGTCGACCAAACTGACAATTAATTATCTTTCTCAAGCCATAGCCAGTTGTTGAATATTGACGGGATAAGTGAAGGTTTGGTTCGAAAAAGACGACTGCGCCAACAACACATTCGCAAGCTCCGTCGGATGGAATGCATCCCAAAACAGGTACTTCCGGCGGTCCTGGCACGGCTGCTGCGACGGCAGGCATGTGATTTGCCCGTTGTTCCTCCCAACCCCACAACAACCTTTGTCTATCACTTCAAACCCTAGACAACATATAAGTAAACTCAAAATCAACAAACTTCACTTAAAAATGGATACCAAAACGTTAAAAAAAAAAAAAGTAAAGTTTGTGATCACACCGTATTGAGAGGAGTTGAGATACAAGTCGCTGGTGCTCTTGTAGAAGTCGAGGTACACGAACTTGGCTCCGGGAAGCTCCGTGCCGCCGGCGTTGAAGCGCTGGACGAGCCGCTTGAGACCCGAGTTGAACATGGAAACGGCGTCGTTTATCTTCTCGTTGCATCGGCTGTTCTTGGTGTTGTTGTTGTTGGTGTACCTGGCGAGTTGGTATGGTATGCACCCGATTTGCCCTACCGACGTCACTATCACCTTCCTGGCACCCATCGCGTGCAACTTCTGCATTGTCCGATAAATCATTCTAAAGGTGATTTTGATGGTATAGGGGAAAGAAATGGGCGTACTAGAAGATAGGGTTGTGAGTAGGGCTGTTAATGAACCAAGCCGCTCATGAACGGCTCGGTGTGCGACTCGAGAAAAACTCGTTCGACACTCGATTCGATTTAATCGAGCCGGCTCGCGAACAAGCTCGTTAACTAAACGAGCCGAACTCGAGCCATACCATGTTCAGCTCGTAAGCTCGCGAACAAGCTCATTTAATGGTTTGGCATAAAAAAATATTAGAATTCATGGATTTTATGTATTGAAATTGGGATAAATATTGTGTTTTACTTTGCTAGACTTTGCTACAGGTTTGAATGTAATTTTGTGCGCAGTTTTAGGTCAATCTTGAGCAATCATGAACATTTTATAAGCTGAACTCGAATTTGGGCTCGTTAAGCTTATTTGACGAGCCGAGCTCGAGCTTTCATTTTCATAAACGAGCCGAGCTCGAGCTTGCATATTAAAGCTCGTGACAAACACGAGCCGAGCTCGAGCCTAGAAATATATTAACGAGCCGAGCCCGAACTATGGCAAAGCTCGGCTCGACTCGGCTCATTAACAGCCCTTTGCGAGTTTGGTTCTAGATACCCACTGATCCGTCCCAATTCTGAGTCTCAAGCTGGATCAGTTTGTTTACAGGGTGAATTTTAAGGTCGGGTCATATTTTGACCCTGTAAGAGTCAGGTTGAGTCAACTTAGTATCGAGTCACTTTTGACCCTATCACCCATATCAATAAATAGTGATGATACGGAATTCATCAAACCAACATATCGGATCTGTTCGTAAAGTTTTAAAATTTAGATAGAAGGATATATATTCGAACCTTCGAATAGCGGGACCAAAACCCGTTGCCTTATAATGCAAGATGAAAAAAAAGAAAACTATAAAGCTACTAAAACATAATTTTACACTAAATCTTTTGGACCTGTTTGTAAAAATAAAATTTAGGGATTAAATTGTAAACAAAATAAATTTGAGTACGAACAAATAACCAGTGTTTTGATTTGAGCCCGGCCCACTAGCTCAACCCGATCCATCCCCACTCTAAAGGGTCAGACATGATCAAGAAGAAAACAAGGGAAGGATGAGACAGTTAAATTAACCCTACAAGATGGTTCAGACAAGATTTTTACAGGATCAGGGACGAGTCTTGACCCAATTTCAGACCTAATAAGTAATTAAGGTTTAACTAGCTTTAATAATTAACGTACGGCGAGTTGGTTGGCGTAGTCTTGAAGGAGGAGGGAAGCAAAGGCCTCGGGGGTGTAATCGGAGCCGGTGGTGTAGAAATTGGACATGAAGTAGTTGTTGAGATAGTCGTTGCTCCCCATCCCGGAGAAGAAGATGCACCGGCCAAGGTAGGAATTCAGCAGCGAAGTGTCGCCTCTGAAATACCTCAGCATCACTTGCACCACGCTCCCGAAGTTGTTCAGTTGTTGGTTCATCGACGCATGATTTCCCTGCATAGCATTTGTAGAACCATATTTTTAATGGTATGAAATGATTGAATCATGATTTCAACACAAAATATACCATGATTGAATCATGGTACTCTATCGTTGAATTTGCGAGTACAGCCTCTAGCACAGTTTTACCATCATTAATGCATGCTGCATGACAAGCAATATACGTATAAATATAGTTACGTACAAAGGTCTATATATATATATATATATATATACGTACCAAATTGTTGCCGGTTTCTTCCCTGATGCCGGCAGCGCCGGAAGCGAAGTTGACTCCCCTCAGCACTTCCCGCGGCGCTCTAGCTCTGGCGAACGGCGGGATGAAGTTTCGAAACCCTAGCAGCCGAGCTATTGCGTAGACACACACACACGTACGTAACAATTATGTAGATGCATCATATGCATAACAACACGTTTCTAATTAAGTTGGACGTAGAAGTATTTCGATAACCTAGAAGCACGCAAGCTTTTAATCGGCTTTAAATCGCGATGAAAAATGCGATTCTGCGCGTAGAAGTATTTCTGGACTTAAAACGTAAACTTTTTTAACTTTTAAATCGCGATTTCTGACTTACTTACCGAGAGCGTCGACGTAGGTTTGGCCGTTGGTGAAGCGGCCGGTGGCGCCCAAGGGGAAATCAATGCCGTAGGGTCGATAATTAGCCCTGGCGAGGGTGAGCATGCCGTTGTTGTTGCCGTTGTCGACCAAGGAGTCGCCGAATATGAAGAAACAAGGCACCTGTGCGTCTTGCACCTGTGGCGGAGGGAGCCGCTGCCCCATTATTGGCTTGCTGCCAAAGAGTGCTAAGGTCGAGAATATGGCCAACCCGATGGTCCAAACCTTGTTCGTCATCATCTTCTTTGTATAGAGTTTGGTTTCCCTTTTCTTGCACATTATGGGTGTGCTCTAGCAAAGCCAGAGACCTCTTATCTTTTATATTGTTTGATTTGTCAACTTGCTCTCTAGCTAGCTCGATGGATCTCAGCTCTGCTTTTGTTTGGGTAGTTGGTGGGCGCGTTTATTGAATTCATTCGTTGCTGGATCTATGCAACTACGTACGTGCTTTAGGCTTTGCTTTTTTGTGGGTATCATAATGTGCACCAACTAACTAATTTCAGTGCGTCGATGGATATATACCTTTTGGTTGGGAAAGAAGATTCAAGTTGCGGGGCGAAAGAGAGGGAATCTCGTGACAGTGAGCAACCAAACCCAACGAATACAGGTATGACATTGTTTATTGCAAATTCTATGTTGACGTTTAAGATTTATTATTATTATTATTATTATTATTATTATTATTATTTTGTCATTAGATTACTAATGTTGTAGATGTTAAGCCACCAAAACTGTTGTGGGCTGGAAATTGTTGGGCCACAGCAAAGGTGACCCACCTGAAATGCAGAAGCCCATTATGCAGAAGTCAGGCCTGTAAGTACGCATGATGCGGTAATTAGTATTCGGCTCAGTAAATACTACGTTTAATATACGTATTATGATCGTACGTATTTTATTCGTTTTAAATTTTCGCATTCATAATATTGTCAAGCGATTTTATTTCATCTCGTTCATTTGATGGCTACAGTACTAAATACGTTGAGAAACCGGCATAACAAGTATAATATTCTTATTTAATGAATTAAATTGCTAACTTAACTATTATTTATATATTAATTTATTTTTAAAATATTTTATTTTATATATTTTTATAACTATTGAAGTACTATTAAACATATAATTAGTTTAGAGACTAAGTAAAATATAGATGTAACTCACCGATTAACTATGATGTCTATACGCCTATGCCCAAGGTCCGCTTAATATGACACATCGTTGTAGTCGATAAGTCCAGAGTTTTGGATAATTTTTTTTCTTTCCATCCCAAAATTTAACCATAAGTCTTGTCCTCTTCCACAGAAATCATCCTCAAGCTGGTCAATGTGGATAATTCACGCACGGACTAGATACAGGGTGAGTATAGGTAAAATTCAGAAAAATTTTAATGGAGATAGAGTGAACAAGAAATTTATCTAGTGGTAATACCATTAGTTTTGAATCTGGAGAAATCAGCCTCAAATTTTTTTACATGGTAGCACCTAACTATATAAATCAATCTATGTCACCCTTATTTATAAAAAAAAAAAAAAATTGATGGAGATGGAACGAGTTTGATTATGGACTCTCCACCCTATACTCATTCCTATAATCGCCCCATCAAAATAATTTTCCATATATAAAAATATGGGGATCATACGATAGAATGGATAATTAGATAGAATGGATAATTAAAAATAATAAATGGGTTGAAATGTTTGAGTGACCACCAGACTAGACACTAATTTATCTTGCTCAATTTGCCATTCACTATTTAACTTCTTTCCCCTTTGTTAACAAGATTATGTTAATGATTTGTCATATATTAATGATTTGGATAGTACTATACTTGTCTTATGAATATTTTAGGATTGGATGCTTTGAATTCATATTAAGAATAGTTGTATCTTCGTGATTTCATTATTTATTAGGTCCATCTAGTCGTATAATTGAATATCTACCTATTGAATCTAGGTATAGTAATATTGATTATACGGGCGAGTATTACCCTTTGGTACCCGTAAACTGCAAATATGGGATAGGGTTACAAACCCCCCTTCCCTGGGCATGAGGTATAGAGTGGATACGAGTTTGGATATAGGAAAGCGAATGGGGATGTTTGGAAATGGGGATGAGGATTGTTTAGCAAAATCTGTATTAAACCCGCCTCATTGCCATCCCTACTCCTCTAACTTTGGTATAGTCGTATGGGGATGCATATAGGAAATCGAATGAGCCACATCTGGTGAGTATCTTACTACTCATACTCGTTTTATAATAGGTTGGGTTTGACCGAGTATTTTGTATAATCAGAGCATGCGTTAGAGATTATCGATCCATGTGAATTGCATTTAACGGGAAAACACTTAACCAATGTTGTCAGAACCGAACCGGAGCATGACCCGGTAATGCGAACGGCTCGCACTTTAGCAGTCCAACCGGCATTAGACCGTTTAAAAACCGTTAGAAAACTGGTATTTAATAAACGTTATCAGTATAAATAGTGGACATTTCTTAATCAGAGCTCATCTCTTTCCTTCGAAATCGTGAAATGGAAATAAGGATTCAATTTGAGAGCCCGACGTTTTTGGTTTATTTCAATTTTCTACAATTTTTTTAATTATTTAGTGGCTGAATGGCAAAAACCGGACGAGCGGCTCGATCGGTTAACCGCCTCGGCCGCTCGCCAACCACTACATAAAACCGGAGCGGCTTTTAGACTTGTCCGAGCCGGTTTTGTGACCGGGTGGTGTTTTTACCGGTCGGGCCGAGCGGCTCGGCTCGGCTTTAATAACACTGCACTTAACAATTAAACATTTTATTATAATTATGAGAAAAAATAGCTTCTTTAAAAAAATACAAACACTAAAATCATAAATGAAGTTAAATAATTTTAGAAACGTAGATTCACCGTTTTATATAACTAAATATACGATAAGTGAAGTAGTCAAGATAACGGCTCAATTTTTCCTTTTTAATATTGTAATATAATTTCAGACCTTTCAATGTCCGCATATCCTATCAATAATCATTTGGGATTTTGTTAGTCATTAAATATTGAATAGTATTTTTCCCGTAGCTTATTGCAAATGTCATATTTCAAAACTTGTAGAGAGGAGGATGGTAGTAGGCAAAACCAAAGGAAAAGACAAGTTCTTGACGTCGGTCAATTCATCGAACACTTGGCGCATGTTCTGTCTAAAACTTGAAGCCACCTGCCGCCAGCGGCGGATCCAGAACACAGAAAAGCACTTGGCCGCATTTCATTAGAAAATTAGAACCGTAAAAAAATATTATAGTTTTTTTACAATATAAATTGTACACGACAGTATTTTAATTTAACGAATACATCAATAATAGAGTCCACATCCATACCAATAATATACACTGTTTTAAATAAAATACTTGAGCAATTGGCGAGAAATTCATCGCTCGTTTTGTTGCACAAATCAGTTTTCATATGTTTCATTGTTGAAAAGGTTCTCCCCGTAGTAATTGGTGATACGAGGAGCGTCAACGCTAGACAAATCAATCGTGCATTGTGTGTCCATACCTATATCCACTAGCTGCTTTAGTAAATTTTCAGGGAACAAAACTCATATTTCTTATAGTCTTTTGTTTTAGACTTTTAGAATTTAAGATTTCATTATTTTTATTTTTTTGAAGAATAATCTTTGGAGCTAAAATTTCTAGGCTAAATTTATAGTAGTGATTTGAATATGTTAATTTGAATCATTTTTCTAGTTACACCCAATCTTATTATAAAATAACACTGGGCCGAATAACCAAAATCGAAAAATTCATAAAGGCTATACTAACTCCGGATCCAGAGGAGGGCTGGGCCGGGGCCCGGGGTGGCCACCCCCTGGATCCGGCAGTGCCGCTCCCCTGTCCTCATTAGGTGTTAAGAAATGGAGGGCCATGCATCCATGCAAAGTGAAGAATGGCGGAAGAAACCTGTCCACTTCATTTCTTATGTGGCGGCGACCCTTCAATGCCCTCCTTTCTCCTATAAAGAATACCTCTGCAAATTTCAGCAAACACTGCTCATCACTTTGACACTTACCACAACATCATCATCATCATGGCGAGATCCAGCCCTTCACTTCTCTGCCTCTCACTCTGCCTTTCCGCACTCCTCTTCCACGCTTCACAGGCTAGGCAGCAATGGCAGCAGGGGAACGAGTGCCAGCTCGACCGGATCAACGCGATCGAGCCCGACAACCGCATCCAGAGCGAGGCCGGTACGATCGAGACTTGGAACCCAAGCCACCAGCAGTTCCAGTGCGCTGGAGTTGCCATTGTGAGGCGCACTATCGAACCCAACGGCCTTCTCTTGCCGTCTTACAGCAACACTCCTCAGCTCATCTACATCGTTCAGGGTAACCATATGCATTAACTAATTGTTCAACAATCTCAATCATCTGCTTCACTAGTTGGATAAGTGTTTGATTCTTGACCAAATGTTTTTGCTGCTGTGATTCCTAGGAAGGGGACACACTGGAATCATGTTCCCGGGATGCCCCGAGACGTTCGAGGAATCGCAGCAGTTTGAAGAAGGCGGCAGTGGGCGAGACCAGCACCAGAAGGTTCGCACCTTCCGTGAAGGAGACATCATCGCCATCCCCGCCGGAGTAGCCCACTGGTGCCACAACGATGGCAACGATCCCGTCATCGCTGTGACCGTCCACGACACCTCCAGCCACCTGAACCAGCTTGACAACAACCCCAGGGTCCAAAAACCAAAACCCACCATTTCATTTCATGGCTTCCTCTGTAGGTTGGTAGTTTTCTTCTGATCCAACAGAATGTGGAACTTGTTGTTGTTTGATTTTGGTTGGCAGAACTTCTACCTGGCCGGGAACCCGGAAGACGAGTTCCAGGAATCACAGCAAGGAGGAAGGCTGAGCCGCAGCCAGGACGAGAAGCGAAAGAGGCGCCAACGCCAAGGAGGCTCCTCCACCTGCAACAACCTCTTCTGCGGACTGGACTCCAGCTTCATCGCCGAGGCTTTCAACATCGACGAGAGCTTGGCGAGGAAGTTGCAGGGCGAGAATGACAACAGAGGCAGCATAGTCCGAGTTGAAGGCCAGCTGGAGTTTGTGAGGCCTCCGAAAAGGATTCAGGAAGAGAGACAGCTGCAGGGTGGCCGTGGGCTTGCCAATGGCCTGGAAGAGACCTTCTGCTCCATGAGGATGAAGGAGAACATCGGGGATCCCTCACGAGCAGACATCTTCACCCCTGAAGCTGGCCGCATCACCACCGTCAACAGCCACAACCTCCCCGTCCTCCGATGGATCCAGCTCAGCGCTGAGAGGGGTGTTCTTTACAACGTAACCCCACTTCTCCCTCTGCAGCTTCCTAATTTCATTCCCCCCGATTAACTAACCATCTTTGGAACTCAAATTTGCAGGAAGCCATGAGGCTGCCGCACTGGAACCTGAACGCCAACAGCATAATCTACGCCATCAGAGGGCAGGCCAGAGTCCAGATTGTGAACGAGAACGGCAACTCGGTGTTCGACGGCGAGCTGCGCGAGGGACAGGTGCTGACGGTGCCCCAGAACTTCGCGGTGGTGAAACGCTGCGAGAGCGACAGGTTCGAGTGGGTATCTTTCAAGACCAACGACAACGCCATGGTCAACTCGATCGCCGGAAGAACCTCCGCCATCAGGGCTATACCGGCTGACGTTTTGGCCAACGCGTGGAGGGTATCGCCGGAGGAGGCCAGGAAGTTGAAGTTCAACCGCCAGGAGACTCATTTGGCCAGCTCAAGGTCTCAGTCCTTCAGAGCTGCAGCAGCTTAGAGGCTAACATGAGTTATGCAGCTTAGATGCCAACGGCTGACTTTCTGAGTTTGTTTTTTACGGGCAGCAGCAAGGTGTGGAGAGAGGGAAGTAGGCAAGTAGCCCCTAACCACAGTAAGAATAATGTAATAAAGTAAATGGGAGTAGGAGCTCCAAATGTTTGACAATTTATGGAACACAGAGTTCGAATCCCAAATCTGAAACCAACCCAGAGTGGACTCTTAACAAATGTGACTAAAACCAGACTATGATATACTATTATGATACGTACAAGCTTTCTTTCTCTCAAAGTGAAGAGAAAATAGGGACCCCTGGCAAGGTGACTCCAGCATCCACAATGAAGATATTGCCCGTCACATACTGCGACGAATCATGGATTAGGTATCGAATAAGGGATGTCAATGCCGGATCTGCAGTTCCATATGTTTGTAGAGGAACCGTCTTCTCAGCAACCCGAGTGAGCCAGTCTTTCTGCATCAAACCTTTGGTGATCTCGGACTTGAAAAGTCCAGGCGATATTGAGTTGACCCTGATCTTGTACACCCCCAACTCCAGCGCCATCACCTGAGAAAACGCGATACAAAGGATAGAACTTTTAAGGAAATAGTACGATTAGGAGGTATTGGAAAGGATGTTCATGGAGATTGGGCACATGGTAACCACAATGAAGTCCTATCTATATCTATACCATCATCAAGTTCAATGCAATATGAAGAGAAAAATGCATAGTTTACCTTAGTCATGGCATTAACTCCCGTCTTTGAAGAAACATAGCCAACACCACCAGGCAATTGACCACGATGGAGACCAGCAATCGATGAGATGTTGATTATGGAACCTCCAACCTTCGCATCACGCATCCTGATGCCAACTGACTTGGAAACCAACCAAGTGCCAGTCAAATTCGTCTTGATCACATGATTCCACTCTTCTTCAGACAATTCCAATGGGGTCCTGACACTACCTCTAACGCCTGCATTGTTGACCAATGCATCTATCCTCCCAAACGCCTCCCAAGCCTTCTGTACAGCTTGATCAATGGCAGCACCACCGGCTGATACATCCAGCTCCACCGCCACAGCACGCAGACCATTGGTAGGCTGCCCTGACGCGGACGAAGAAGATTGAGGGGCTGGGAACGGGAGCTGATTGATCTGGCTGCACAGAGATTGCAGGCGATCGATACGCCTAGCAGCAGCCACTATCCTGCACCCGGCTTTCGCTAGGTCGAGACAGAAGTCTCGGCCTAAACCCAAAGATGCACCCGTGACCAGCACCACTTTGTCTGACAAGTTGCACCATGGCTCGAGCTGGGCTGGCACAGCGTTAGCCATTTCCTGTCCTGAGAGATGTTCACAAACAGAGGGAACAGTCACTAACTGATGCATTTCGACCAAACAGAAGAAGACCCACAAAAAGGTATAGCAAACCAAGTGCTCGACCGCCGACCGGAAACAAAAAAAGGTCGCGCAATTCATCAAACAGTTGGCGCTCGTGTTAACGGTAGCATAGAACCGGGGAGACTCGAACAAAGATCAAACACAAGCACAACATATCGATCAATCAAAATCCCAGTACTCACCAGCAATTCAACTGCGGAAGAAGGCAATTCAATCTCGATCAGAAGCCCGAATCCTGGAGATGGTAAACACGAACAGGGGGAACCAAAATCGAAATCAAAAGGTGAAAGGAGCAAGCCTGCCTCGTTTGAACAGGGCGATCTTCCAAGCTTCGATTTTCTGAGAGAGGATCGACGAATGGGTCGGGAAGTCGGAGGAGGGAAGCGAGGATATGGAGGGAGTAAGGAACCCTACGTGATATTGCCTGCTTCACTTCTGGGCACTTTCCGCTGGTGAAATTGACGACGCAGCGAGCGCGGTAGTTGGTCACTGTGCCACTGCAGAGGAGTTGACGGACAAAGTGGCAGCGGTTGACGCATGGAATTAAATAATTGTTTTTATCGCGACCGGCTGAATGATTAATTTTTAATTTCAGTTGTAGTCCATCTACTGTATTCTTCTACAGAACAATCCATGTAATATTGAACTTTGACAAAAAGGTCAGTATATAATATCATTTATTCATTTTACTCCATTACTCAAAAAAATTCATCCAAGGACTTTATTATAGAGTAGGCATGACACTGTAGCTTTCAGCTGTTTTCCTAAATCACATCCATCCTCATTTTTAAATGAGGATGGATAATACTCATTGGTTTTGGGTATTCAAGGATAATACATGTCTCGTATATCTAATATTATACTTGAAGTTTAACATATAGAATTTCGATCATAATACTACATGATTCTAATAAATCTTTCATCGACAAAGATACAATCATTTTTAATACAAATTCAAAGTACTAATTTTAAAACATTCATTAATCCCCAAGACAAGATAGAGGAAGCCAATATGTGACTTTCGCGTATGAGAGCGGGTGTGAATTGAAGAAAAATAGCATTCGGGTTTGAAAGAGTGAAGGGCGCATTGAGTAAAAGAAATTAAGGTTTGGTTTGGATATTCACTCAATTATATTCCAATTTTTTTTTAAATATCCTTATTATCATTGACATGTTCGAGTATAATCCTTATGTTTCTTTATATATAAATAACTACTCTTGATGGGGCAGGTGTGAGTATGGGTATAAGGTAAGGAGTCTAAAACAATACATGTCTCATCCTCATTAAACTGTTTGCATATTTTATAGACACCTATCATAAGGAGTCTAAAACTGTAAAACAACACATGCCTCACACTAAAATGCCCCACCCAGAGCCCTTCTAGTGTGCTCTATAGCACCCATGCTATAAAAAAAATTACCTGTTGGAGAGATAAACTCACTAAATGACCGGTTCCACGTCATTAATGGCAATCTTGTAAATAATGAATGAATATATACAAGTGTATGTACAAATTATAGTTGTAACATATCTTATAGGTACAAGTTTTAGTTGTACCATTGAAAAATTTGTTTCACAAAGTGTACGTACAACTCAAAATTGTATCATAGTGCATAGGTACAACTCAAGAAAGTGTAGGTACAGTCTTGACCCGTTGATGTTCCCGAAGGTATGAGGTTGCTGGGGACAAAGCCTCGTTGGCGTTGAATTGATTGCTGACGACCCTAGATTTAATAGGCCTCGCTGTCACAAAATGACATGTGGACTGCTATTCTGGATTTTTTTTTAAAGAAGAATTATTTATCGAGAAAAGTGTACATTAGAGAGAAATCTTAGTAGGGAAAAATTCATGTCATAAAATCCTAGCAACGAGGGCATGTAGGTACAAATTTTATTTTGAATTGTATAATAATATGACATTAATTTATAATTTCATTATTGCAAATCGATAGGGATAGCAAATAAGAGTATCCAATCAGATATGAATCAATTTGGTTGGAAAAAAATCCAAATGATATTACTTTTGTAAGAATTTACTTCAAATTCAACAAAGAGGGTAATGTATTTGTTGCGATTTTAGTAGCGTAAGTATATGCATCGAGTCCTCACTGAATATGTGCTACCGCTATGATCTAGACTCACTCGCTTCATCACTTAGATCATCCATATTTTTCAAGTATTATAATTATCTCGAAGACCAAATGTTTCTCATTTTTGCTCACTTTATAAACAATATATTAACAAAACTTGCATTTTATGAAAAATTTCACATTGTATCAAGAATTTTGTATATGATTATTAGAAATGTTGAATTTTTCTTGAACACATACGAGTAGGTTTTGATACTCAAATAATCATATTCCATCCCCGCCTACTTTTAGTTGTGTGGATGGTTATTAATTCACAATCGTTATTCGAAAATGATTGATATGAAAAAATGGCTCTATCCAAACTTGTTGACATAGATGGCAATTGCATGTAGTGCAATTGAAACGGACCAACTTGGTCACATGATGTTAGGAAATAGGAATAGGAAGTCTGCCAACCTTGTTCAGTATTCTGGCCTAACATGTTTTAGGTCATCCAATCCAATTTGTAACGAAAAGAAAGGAACCGCCAACTTTTATATAAATATAGATGTGTTTGTTTCCACGTCCAAGAAGTGACCAAATAAAGGAATGAGGCGCCAGCTCGACTCAATCAAACACATCTCTTATGTAACTTTCTAAATAATTACTGCTCACAATTCACCTCACCTGTTTTCTGAATAAGATAAAAATACATTTTATGTTCTATTTCACTAAATACCGGGATGGCAAGGGAGATTACATAACTCAACTCTTAAAATAATGTACAATTAAATATAAATTTTGTAATAAATTTGACCATTGTAATAGTTTGTAAGACTTTGGTCTCATCATCGATCAGTTCATATTTCTGATTAGATTTGTAGCCTCGTTTGAATTTTTGGCCCCACCGTTCACTATACATAACTAGTTTTGTGATTGGCCTGCCGACCGGTTGAGTTTTGTTCATTATTTCTGTTAAAATCATTTGATCTCATTGTTTAAATATTTTATGTTTGGATTATTTTATGTTATTTACTTATTTCCATTCCGTCTATGAAAATGCTTGTAGTCTTTTGTAAAAAGCGAAGCACCAAGTCAATGGTTTTTATTTATTGATGCAAGTAATGCATATTTTGAGTTAAAATTAATTTAGTCAATCAATAAATATTGACTCTTGCAAAAACTTATACTAAAATTGTGTTGAAATTTTCTAACATTTAGCATATCAACTAATGATGCTTCACTTATCTAATTTTAACTCATGTTCTCGATGAAGTTGTGTAAGTCTTTGTCTAAGATATTGTGTCAAGGTTCATAGACCAAGTCACTGAGTTTTTTATCTTATGTAATATACATCCATCTATCATTTTCAATGTTTGATCTAATCCTCAAACCATTATGATTGTTGTTAATGGGCCCAAAACATTCACAAAAAATTTCTTAGGGGAAGATACATGATCACTAAGTAATCTTATACCCTAATTCTCTAAACCTTGAATCTAAATTCTCAAATGAGTGAATCCTAATCACTAAACTCAAATGAGTCAATCCTAGATCCTAATTCTCTAGATCATAAACTCTAAGATAAAATTAACTAAAAAAATTTATTGATGATTCTTACTCACTGAGATTAGGGCTGCAAATGAATTGAGTTGTTTACGAGCGGCTTGATGTTTGGCTCAAGAAAACCTCATTTGAAACTCTACCATTTTACTAACAAGTCGAGCTTGAGCTAAGCCGTGTTCAGCTTGTGAGGCTCGCGAGCCAGCTCGAATTGGTGGCTTGTTGAGCTCCACTAGTGAGTTGTCTCGTTTTGAGATCATGCGATGTCTCAACATTTTGACTAGCGAGCCAATTCGACTACGACTTATGAGCGAATCGACCTATATCTTATGAGTTTGGCTTATTGATAATTCGTAGTTTTTTTAAATTATATATCTCACTCCATATGATGTTTAAGACTTTTTAAGTATGTGAGATAATATGTCTCATTTATAATTTAAAAGATAAATTATGTATCATTGATTGCTTATATACGAATTACTATGAAATAATATGATATAAGCTAGTTGAAATTTATGAACTGAATATAATACGATACCAACAGAGTATAAAAATGTGATAAGTTAATGACGAGATTTGGCTATTACTCTTTTTTCATCATGAGATCAATTACATGTATCATACATGACATACAAATATTATTATATTTAATTTATAAATTATTTTAGAGCTTAGTTTAGGGTTCAACTATTGGGAATAAATGAGTTAAGCTCGAGCAAAACTTGCCATCTTATTGGTTAGTAGAACTCGAGTAGAACTCATGAGTTTATTAATGAGTCGAGCTCGAGATAAACACGAGCGAGCCAAGATTTTGATAAACGAGTCGTGAATGGATTACTTCTATTCTTCTAACTCGATACGACTCTTTTGAGAAGAAACAGGTTCGGGAGAAGATCTTGACCAAACAATGGGCTCATCAAGTTGGAGAGGTGGATCAGGCTCTTCTGCCTCCAGCTACTATTTTTTTATAAATGGATGCAACTACATCCTACCTTTCATTCAAAATCACCCGTGAGGCCGTGACTCAGAGAGCCCCTGAATATCATTTATGATCACGAGCGAGCTATGACATGCCACTCGAGCTCAATTCATTTATTAACGAGCCGATTTCGAGCTTGGCAAAACTCGGCTCGACTCAGCTCATTTGTAGCCTTAGTTGAGAGATGTCTAACGTACCATAGGCATTTATGAACCACATTAGAGTTTAGTCATTCGAGTCAAGCTATATTACTATATCCCAATTTCTTATAAATTCATGCTCTAGATGCCGTTACTTTACTAAGGGTATGTGGTAACCCAAAATTCATCGATGATACCATATAATTTCCCGTAAGCATACACTACTTATTGTTAAATTTAAAAATTAGTCAATGGTGTTTGATTCTTTGGCCAATGATGTGGTCTTTCACTTCTATGCTTAGGATTCTCAACTTTTACCGAAATTATTAGCTAATGATTTTTGGTCATTCACTTGTAACATTGAAAATGTTTACTTACAAAATCATTGCATTCTCTTATACTCGTAGAATTAGTTTGCAATCATAGATTCATAGCTAGACCATTGAACGCCAATTTTTTTTTTTTTTTTTTGCAATACAAATTTGTATACCACTTTCGAGAATAATCCTTATATTCCCACAGAGTCATGTAACCTAATCAATTTATATGTTGTAATACAGTAGTTAAACTCAAATTTAATATTTGATTCTTGGTGAAAATCTTTGTGATTAAAAAGATTCACTTATTTGACTTATATAGTTAGGCATTTCAGGATGAAACATTTTAAAGGAAACTAAAAGTTAATGTTTACTTGGAGGACTAACTATTATGACGGATAAGCCCTCCAACTTTGAGTTGTTTGCTTATTTTATAAATTTAATTGAAAAATACTGCATATTTGTTGTATTTTAGTTGGTTATGAATCTTTGCTCTAACTTGAAAGACTGGGGCTGAAGTCCTAGAAATGGAGATTAAAAAAGATATTTAAGTATTATTTTCAATATAACAGTCAGAAATTACCCAAGCTA